TTACTTATAAATGTTTAATAAAATCTAAAAGAAAAATTAATTTAAAACAAAAAATTGTTATTGAATAACTACCTTAAACTTAACAATTAATAAGCACTTAATTAAACTTTCTGATTTTCAAATAACCAAATTATTGCCTTCTTTATTTTATCAACAATCAGAAAGTTTAGGTGCTTATTAATTGTTTATTTTAAAGTTTAGGGTAGTTATTCGTAAGTAATATCATAAGGGCATCTAATTTTTCCGAAAAAATCGAAAAAACACGTTGCTAAGTAAAGTAAAAAGCATGAGTGCTGGTGGCAACAAAAATCCGAGTCGAAGAGGAGGATTTTTGCACCTGCACGAATGCATTTTGTTAAAAAATATTACTTAGCATTGTGTTTTTTTGATTTTTTTCACAGGAAAAATTAGATGCCCGAATGGTATTTGACAAGACTATTTCATGAGTAACAGTTAACAATTAAAATATTAATTGCAATTTTTGGTGAAAACAGCTGTCAAGTTTTGCCGCGGGTAAACTCGAAAAAACTGCTGACAGGTGCTGTCACACAGTTTTTTCACCTAGAAACCATTTGTAATTCAAAATTGCGCTTTTGTGATTGGTGGAAATTAAGACGAGGGAAATAGTCGTAAGTAATATCATAAGGGCATCTAATTTTTCCGAAAAAAATTGAAAAACCACGTTGCTAAGTAATATTTTAACAAGAATAATGAGTGCTGGTGGCAACAAAAATCCGAGTCAAAGACGAGGATTTTTGCACCTGCAAGAATGCATTTTGTTAAAAAATATTACTTAACATTGTGTTTTTTCGATTTTTTTCACAGGAAAAATTAGATGCCCGAATGGTATTTGATAGGACTATTTCATGAGTAACAGTTATTCTGCATACACATAGCTTACAAAACATACTACCTATTGTACACTAGAATCTACAGACCATACCCCACAAAGGCTTTCGATCCCGCACATGCGCTGATCTAAAATGGGCAAAAGTGAGCGAAACCAACCCAAACTCAACAACCCAACATCCACATGCACACATAATAAATATGTAGGTATAAATAATTATTATTAATGCTGTGCGACAAATAAATATTCATATATTTACTTATATAGGTATAAGCGTATAAGCGACACAAAATATAGAATTATTTTATAATTGTGTATTGTGTGTGGGTATTATGTGTATATATGTGTGTATGTATAATATACCGTTTACCATTTAAATTTCATTCTTTGCGTTCTTACTTTATTTATCAATTTAATTTCAAAAATTAATATTATAAATATTAATATACAAAATAGATCAAGCCGGCCCTGTAGTGTACGTAATAAATTTGGAATGCGGCCCTATTGGCAGGCTTGGCAGTTTAATTGAGAGGGTCGCCCTTCTTATCTTCTCTGATGTTATCTTAATACGTGCTCGTTTACTTTTGTTTATTTTAATTTATGGGGCTGGTCTCCTAGTTACTGCTTATATTTTAAATGCATATACATTGTATACATTGTATATGCATTTAAAATATAAGCAGTAATTAGGAGACCAGCCCCATAAATTAAAATAAACAAAAGTAAACGAGCACGTATTAAGATAACATCAGAGAAGATAAGAAGGGCGACCCTCTCAATTAAACTGCCAAGCCTGCCAATAGGGCCGTATTCCAAATTTATTACGTACACTACAGGGCCGGCTTGATCTATTTTGTATATTAATATTTATAATATTAATTTTTTAAATTAAATTGATAAATAAAGTAAGAATGCAAAGAATGAAATTTAAATGGTAAACGGTTATAAAACACTAATTTAACAATAAAATAAACAAAGAAGATACAAAGTCGGTAGTCGGTGCTCGGCAGTAGGGGTTGAATATCCACGAAGGCAGAGGGCACTTACGGCGGGTCGCGGCCGTTAACACTTCGGTACTGAAGACAGGATTCAGTATCTCACGGGGGGGCAAGCAATTCTAAAACGGTTACAAGGAACCGGAAACTAACTCGGACAGATACACGGACAGAGATGTTCAGAAGTACACCAACAAGGACAGGTTCTAGCAGCTTACTAACACTTCTACCCCCATTCATAATGGGGCTATTACTAAAGCCCCGGTTGAGGAGGATTCCGGATTGTACTTAGTTTTGTGTCAGTTCAATGTCCTCAACTAGCCTAAACTGGGCGTATGGTCCGACCCGGCGACAAAAATCCGGGAGTAGCCTTAACATCGACATTGCCATCCACGACCTTCTATAGGGTAGATCTACCAGCCGGCGTAAAAATTCGGACCCAACAAACACAGGTAATGTAGTGCATTGCGGGATACGTAGGAGAAAGAAAAGGTGGTAAAATAACCCTGGGAGATTAGTGTAAGGTGATGTCGATGGGGCCTGCCATGCGTCCGCATACTCATACTTATAATCTATGTTTCAGCCTAACATGATTGTATTTTGTTTTTTAGTTTGGAGAGAATTTTTTAAATAATGTATAGGAAATCTGTTGGGATTTAGCACTTCTGCGCAAGTGTTATTTTCCATAGATTCTTTCAAAAATCCGTTTTTAAACATTAGCAACCAAAGAGGATCATGTTGATGGCTTAAAAATTGATTATTACAGTATATTTTTTATGAAAATCTGAAAAAACAATTTTATTTTTATTTAAATTATCATTTTAAATTTTGTGCTGCCAACTTAAGAAATACAAAAATATGACAGTTTTAAACCGTAATTTTGCAATTATAAAATAAATTAACAATTTATATTTTTACTTGTTTTCAGTTTTTAATGATTCTTTCATTTGTAATAAAGTAGGTATTTAATTGTTAATTAAAATACAACGTTTAATTTTAACATTGACACCATTGTCACGGCCTACTGTTATTTATTTATCAAACTCTTAAAATGGAGATACTTATGTTATGTGGGTACTACCTAGTAGGTAGTAGGTGTGCCTTAAAAACCCTCTAGTTTGAGAGTTAAAATTAAAACAGAAATACCTAATCTAAACATTTTTTTACCAAAACCTATTGGTTTAAAAACTTTTTAAAATGAATATATATCGCCGATAAACCGCCTTGAACAAATTTTGTGCAAATGCGTGCATTCAAACGCGTTTGCATGTAAAATGTGTTTTAGGGGACATTTGTGTAAACAAATTATGCTTAAATTTGAATTTTAATCATAAAATATTTAATAAGTAGTTATTCAACACAAACTTTTATCAAGTTGTCAAACTTGTGTCAAGTTGGGGCTCGCAAAATTGAATCGATGAGATTAAGAACAGTACAGTCACAGAAAATAAAGAAGTACAGTCTAAAATTTAAAATGTTTACAATATTTTGTTCAAAATCATTTTTATAAATGCATTTTTTAGAATAGTTTTATTATTATATAAAATATAATAAACATATCTTGTACAATAGTTACAAAATTTAAAATTAGGTATTATTAACATTAATGAAATCTTTAAGCCAAAAAGTAGGTATACAAGGTGTCCCTAAACTTAGTGGCATAAATTTAGGAGCAGATTAAACAAGTCAAAATAAGACGAAAATCTAAATAAATATTTTTCCTAATTACGTATGTTTAAAAGATGTGTTACTTATCATTTCAGTTTTTTTAATATAACTTCTACTATGGTAGATTTGGAAAGGTGATATTTTGCGAACAGTCACTTACTAGCAAAACACATATTCATACATAATTACAATTGTTCGAGTGAACACAATGTTGTAGAAACAGGGGTTGCTTAAGCTTATTGTCCCATACAAACTTTGAGGTTAGGTTTTTTATACCATTTGATGCAATTTTTCGATTACTCAGTTAGGCTACTATTAAAAAGGTGTACCTCTCAAACTTCGATAAAATTAACCGTTTCCGAGATATTCGAGATAACAATAATTGTTATATCGCATTTAAGGACTAAATGTATATGAACAATTTTTTTAATTGAAAAAACTACAATTTTTTTTAATGTGACGGTCAGGTCAAAAAGTCCCGAGGCTTATTGAATGCCCTTTTTAGTTTTTTCAATTAAAAAATAAAATTTGTTATCATATACCTTTTAATCCTTTTAAATAATGCGATATAACAATTATAGTAATCTCGAATATCTCGGAAACGGTTTATTTTATCGAAGTTTGAGAGGTACACCTTTTTAATGGTAGCCGAACTGTTTAATCGAAAAATTGCATCAAATGTTACAAAAACCTAACCTCAAAGTTTGTATGGGACAATAAGCTTAAAGCAACCCCCGTTTCTACGACACTGTGTTCACTCAAACAATTGTAATTATGTCTGAATATGTGTTTTGGTAGTAAGTGACTGTTCGCAAAATATCACCTTTCCAAATTTACCACACTTTATCACCCTGTATCTTTTAAACATAGGTAATTAGGAAAAATATTTATTTAGATTTTCGTCTTCTTTTGACTTGCTTAATCTGCTCCTAAATGTATGCAACTAAGTTTAGGTACACCTTGTATATTAAGTAAATTTTTTAGTAAAACAATTTCATTTATTTTCTGTTTTAAGTAAATAACATAGAAAACCATTTCATATGCAATAGTTTTATTTAAATGGTATCTTTTATTAATAAAATTTTTATTATAAAATGTAGTTTTTTATACATGATTTAACAATAAACAAACATTTACAGGCAATTTCGTGTTGGGGTATGAAATCCCTACCCACCCAACTTATTCCTTATCTATGGTATGACCTGGGTTGCCACCTGCCACTTCTTGGTTTAAGGGGTAACAACATGAAAAATATGGGTTTTAGATTTTTTTACAGGAAACAATTAAAACAGCATTTTTTATGACAAAATCCTGTTTTTATTTATTGTGCAATAAAACACCTTTGAAGCTCTTTATTTTGTAAAGAAAATATATATAAATCTTTTGTTTACCCTATATTTTATTTGGCAACCCTAAGTATGGTGGCATGGTGAAATGAAGAAGCATGTCTAGACTGTTTTTTAATTATAAAGGTAAAAATGACTCACCATCACATATTATATTAGCCTGAACCTTAGTGGATAACTGCTTATCAAACAAAATGTTAACTATGTCTCCAGTGGATCCATTTACAACAATATTTACTAGTAGACCCGTGGAAAGCAATAACTGTAGCTTATTATCTGTCCAATTATAACTAACAATTTTATTGTTTACCAGACATTCCTCAAGATCCTTTAACCTAAAAAATATTTAAAATTCCATATTATTAGGACTAAAACCATTGATTAATCCCTATAACCATTTATTAATCACTCAGCGATATAACTAATGAACTTAAAATAATCAAACCTATCTTTCAATTTATGTGGCCTTTTGTTGTTTATATCCCATGTTACATTTCTTTGTTTGCAATAATTCTTTTTGCTTGTTAAGTAAAGTGATTCTTGGGTATCTTTTTTAGATGAATACCTGAAATTTATCAAATGTTAAAAAGTATATTGCATACTTATTTTATTAATCATTTAACTTACTTAAATAAACCATAATCTGTGTGCTTTACTAAAACATCTTCCAATGTGGTCCAGAAATGAAGTTCACTCAATAAACTCATTTCCTTTAAAATAAACTTTTTACAGACTTAAATTTACCATGTTCGAACAAAAGTAAACAACCTTTTGACATATAAATATTAGGTTAGGTCACAATCCATGGATTGTGGGTTAGGTCAAAAGTATATAGGCAGTTTTGTATAAAAAATATTAAGACGGTCACCCAAATTAAATATTAATAATATTGATTGTTAATTTAAAATATTCGTAAATTATAAAATGCAACAAAATGCATCAATATTAGCGTGTAAAATATAAATAAATTAAGCAATATTTAATGCGACCTTAAACTTAAACAAAGATGAAAATATCGAACCTATACCTACAATGTCAAAAATTTTCGTTTTTAAGAAAATCTAAACTTCAACTTAATTATTTGATTCCCTAAACAGGTAGTCCTTTTTGTATGTAGGTATTTTATTTTATTTTAATTGCAATAAATTTTATAAAATTAAAAATCGATTCCTCACATGCGCAAGCAAATTTTACAGGTGTTCCAAATGTCAAAAGAAAGTTTTATTACGGAGCAAATTTTAATAGAAAAGAAAAGTAAATAGAAATAATGATTTTGAAAGATTGATATAAAAGTGAATTGGCTAAAGTGAAGAACTGACATCTGCAGGGAGAGTTGTCATTTGGGAAAAGTTTAAATAACAAATTAAAATGTCCACATTTAAAGCCATTTGGAACTGCATGTTCTCTCCTAGGTTAATTAAAATATACGGAAATCGAGATCCTCAAGAGGTAAAACAGTATAATTAGATGAATAAAATGGTATTAATTGATTTATATTTTAGAATGTTTATCAACCTGGAACTATTGAAAAATGGGGTGATACAGTAATTAATTCGGTAGTATTATAAATCATATTTATTTTAAAGGATTTTATTTATTAAATTTTAGTTATTTGTTATATGGAAAATTGGAGTTTATACTTCACCGTTCTTAGTGGGTATATTGTACCAAAGAGGATATTTTGAATCAGATAGTTGGGTCACTTTTACAAGACTAGTTACTAGTGTTGGTGTAATTTTAATTGTTTCATATTGCTGCAGGGGCATGAGTAGAGCTCAGAATCCTAACTATATGAAATTTTTAAATACATTAGAGAATGCAAGAAAGGATAATATTAATGCTAAAAAGGAGTTAAAAAGCTATGACTATGAGTTTTTTGCCTGGCCTATAGATTTTACAGTTACTGAAAAAACGTACTTTTATATTTATACCTACTTCAGATTCAGTAAAAAAAGTCTTTGTTATCTATGGTTATAACTACAAACATGACACAATCAACAATAATTATTATCATAATAATTATTAAGTAATTTCAAATTTACAATTTGCATTGTGTTCATTAGATATAGGTACACCCTAATATAACAAGGTTGTATTTAAAAAAAAAATGGTGGGTCACCTTGTGAAAACATAAACTCAAATTATTGTTTTTTTTAACATCTTTGTTATATTAGAATATTGATGTTAAATATGTCTATGCCATAGACTCTGGGTCATATCGTTATATTCCTGCCAAAAGCCACTAACTGACATTTTGTAAAAATGTTAACAAATTGTACTTAACTATTCAAATTTACCATATCTTTAATATTTAAAAGCCACTAGATGCCTAGAATAATAAAAATGTTCGTTTTTGTACATATATATTTATTATATATATATATATATATATATATATATATTTTATATATTTATTTGCTTATTTGAGTACATTAGATGCAAAACTTGGTTTTTGCAAATTTTTAAAAATATATATTTTATCCTATTTATGTACATTACTGCACTGCCTAGTAGGCAGTGCCTACAGCATACCTAAGTAAACCAGATGTATAAGTTAGTATTTGTAGATTTAAATACATTTAAAAACTTAACGCAGATGCAAAACTCGGTATTTGCTGTTGACCAATCACGTCGCTTTCACTTATCCTGCAACTGTGCATCTAATGTACTTATTTATTTTATCTTGAAGCTCAAGCTTGATCAATAATAAAATATTAGTGACTTTTGGCAGGGATATGATGATATAATCTTTTTGTTAAGGTGAATTCACAACAAATGTCATTTTTTTACAGAATCTTGCAGCCCTACTACAAAACATTTTGTTTATCTATATATTTTAGGCAAATTCTGGGTAAAAGAAATTTAAAGGATAAATCTGTAAGGCAGTCAATTATAAAAGATATAACATCAATTCCCCTTAAGATTATTGCTTATTTAGCTATACATACATTTGGTATTAGGTTAATCTATCCAGGAACCATAGGATTTTTAAAAGCTATATTGGGTAAGTAAAAAAAATATTTTTACACAAATACACCTATTCCAGGGGTCATCACCCTTTACAATGTATTTAATTCTTTCCAACTATCTCTTTCTAAAATAATATTATATTGCGCGACTAGAGGGAGATTACCAAATTTTTTTCGCGCCCCGGGGCTATAGCCCATTTAGCCCTGTGGTTGGGGTGGCCCTGCATCAATGTACGGATATAGCTCAGACATACGTATTGTATTTCCAAGCGACGCTCGACCGCTTGCATGCTTCAATGTCGAAAAACAGGTTTTTGACATTTTACATTGATGACGTAACGGACAAATTATAAAAATCCTAGTATAGAATGTAACTTTTCGTCACCATGGAGCCTACACAAGAAGTACGAACTAAATAGGTGGGATTTACAGAGCCTGCCTACGAAATGGCACAAATTACTTGTCTTACCACTTGCGGCGCTGATTTCCATTTTGTACTGACGCGTCATGACGTCTGAGGTCTGACGTTTGTACTGACGTCATGACGTCTGCTGTTTTGGTACAAACAAAACAACAATCATAACATGGAGTTTGGACTGCTTGTGGTAGTCACTGTCACCCTGTCAAATGGTAGTGGTCCATAAGAACGTCGCACGTGTATAATGACCGAGAACAAAAAAATTAGGGTTTTGCGCAGGTTAACACTTAAATATTGATCAAACGTGAACGAGCATTTAGTCACGTGAGTAGAGATGTAAAAGTAACGAAAAAAACAATACCCGCATGTATTCGGTACTTTAAATGTGACTATTCGTTACAAAGTATTCGTTACTCGTTACTATATACTTTGCATTAAGCTGGTTTGGTTTAATTATTATTTCGAATCGTATGTAGCCGCTGCTTTCTTTTGTGAGAAAAAATTAACAAAAAAATAAGTAAGTTTCTAAACATAATATAATAATCATAATTATATAAATTATATTGCACATTTATTTGTAGAAAAATCATTGATTTATTTCAAGAAACAAAATTTTTTCCATTCGTTTTGGTTTAAGTATCGATAATGTATACCAGATTTTAAAAATGTTCTTTTCGACGGTACCGGCGTAGCCATTACACATAAATATTTTTTGGCTAAGCCTGCAAGTTTAGAATTTCTTATTTGCCACTATTTAAGAGGATTATCTTTTCTGTAAAGAATCCTCTCTTCAATGTACTGTCTCATGGTGATTCCAGTAGCAACGGTAGACACTGTAATAGTGCTGGTTCTTACGTCAAAATCCCTTCAAAGATCGTCTTTCTCATCTTCAAACGCAGCATTATGTGTATTTTTATCATCCTTATTATGATTTTCCAGTGCTACTGAAGCTAGTGGTGTCCTTGTAATTTGTTCTAAGTCTTTCTTCAAATAATTGTTTGCTTCTTCATAAGAATAATATAATATTATCTTTGATTATATTACTGTTATTTAAGTATTCGCGCGGCAACTACCTACTCATCGAGTGACGTCATGCGCGGCACGTACCAAACGTCCACGGGAGCATCCAGCCCTGCAGGCGATGCAAGTAACGAAGCGATGCGAATAACGAAAGTACCGTTACTTTGTACCGAATACATACGGTTCGTCACACGTGAGTCGACCGTCTATACGCGATGTCTGTGCCCATTGTGCACCGTTCTTTCCGAGCGACGCTTTTCCTATATGTTCTTATATGTAAAGTTAAAGCTCCTAAATATAATCTTCTTTTGGCAGTATTTTAAGTCAATGCCAATGCTGTCAACTCTCACATAATAGTATATTCTGTAACAAGTTTGGAATACGGCATATTCCGCTCGAGTGAAAAGTTTATCACACGATCCGAAGGCGAGTTTGACAGTTTCACGAGAGCGGAATATGCGATTCCAAACGTGTTTCAGACTTTACTTTTTCTACGTTTCCAAAAAATACCATAGAAAAATAATTTAATTGGGAGAAAGTAAGGTTGGATCGGTCTAAATTTGTTATATTAAACACAGAGATGTCGCCACCAGTGTTTATTCCATCATCCGATGATATAAGAATTCATTCTGTAATACTTTCATTTCATTCCACATTAAAAAGTGATATTAGAACGGTCATATTCCGTAATAGGAGTAGAAAAAATGCTTTTTTACATTTTTAACACAAACTGACCGGGAAAATAATTTGTAGTTGAAGTTGTTAAACCTATTGCAGTGTAAAGCATAGGGGTCGTCCATAAAGTACGTCACACTTTATGTGGGAGGGGTTTAAGACTGTGACATCGTGTTATTATAAAACTATTATGCGTGACATAGGGGGAGGGGGTGTCTAAAATCCCCTAAGAAGATGTGCCGTATTTTATGAACTACCCCCTACATGTTTTTTTTTTGACAAGGAATACTTTAAAAACGTTCCTACTAGAATGTACTGACACTGGCTCACTGTTTACCAATCCCACTTTCTTTTCATACAGACGTTTTGCCATGAAGCCTACACAAAGAGTAAGAACTCAATAGAGGAAATTGACAGAACCTGCCTACTAAATCGCACAAATTACGTTTTTCAACACTGGGTGGCGCTGATTTTCATTTTGTTCTAAATTTTCCAGATTATATTTGAAAACTTTGTAGAATGTATTATATACAGGGTGTTTCTTTTAACTTGAGACAGCTCAATATCTCGAGAAATACGCATTTCACGGAAAAATGTCTTAAATAAAAGGTTAATGTGACTAAGGGTGGGTTGTACCAGTCCGAGTTAACCCTAGATTATTTTTAATCCGCGATTAAGTGCTAAAATGCGTTGTACGAAGGTTAATCGAAGATTAACCGATGATTAACATAAAGATTATCGGTGAAATTTAACTCGCCAATTTTGGCAGTTTAAATGTTGAATAACCTCACTTTTCTGTTAAAGCTTAAAATTATACAATAATTATGGCTTTCGCGCAAATAGAAGAACTTGAAGAATTAACCGACGACGAAGATTTTATACAATTGGTAAACGCACCCCTGTAACTTTTTTATTTATAAAGATAGACACATGAAATTTTGCATGGTTAATTAGGATATAAAATTCCACTTATAAGAGTACAAAATGAATTTTTTAAACTTCCGGTTTCGCCGGAAATAATATCAACTTTTGATTTTTAAATGGAACGCTCTATATATTTTTACATATTTAGAATCATGAGAAAATTCTGAGTCGGACAGCATCCTCAAATTGACCTTTCGACGGTTCGTCATCAGAAAATGCATCATCCTCGGCATCATCATAAAGATCAATCTAGAGTGCTTTGAACTATTTGAGAAAAACGAATTTTGAGAAGTTTAGACTGCTGGGAATAGCTGAATAACAACTTTAAGGCAAGTTCCATTTTTCAGGCATTGTGGGAATCCATTAGAAGAAAATAAGATAGTTCAAAGCACTCTAGATTGATCTTTATGATGATACATTTTCTGGTGACGAAACGTCAAAAGGTCAATTTGAAGATGCTCTCTGACTCAGAATTTTCTTATGATTCCAAATATGTAAAAATATATAGGGCATTCCATTTAAAAATGAAAGTTGGTATCATTTCCGGCGAAACCGGAAGTTTAAAAAATTCATTTTGTACTCTTAAAAGTGGAATTTTATATACTAATTAACCATGCAAAATTTCATGTATCTATCTTTATAAATAAAAAAGTTACAGGGGTGCGCCTATTCTCAGATGCACCCGGTATAGTTCACTTTGTTGGTTATACAGGGTGTCCGGGAAAATGTGGGAAATATCTCGGATTCAGATAGAACATGAAAAAATAAGATAACACGTTCATATAATTTTTTTTCCTACTGGCCCTCCTTACGGAGACATGGGCCCCGAAAGGACTCCCCTGCAAATTGGTTTTCCTTGAATAACTTTTAGAGTACTCAATATAATTTAATAAAAATTTAATATGATGGACCCTGGTAGGGATCTCTTAAAATAGTGTCATTAAAACATGTTTTGCTTTTTTTGTTTACCAGGGGCGGACTAAGTTTTACTTCTTAATGCTTAAACTTTGAACACTCCGTATGACAAATAGTTAAAAAAACTAAATCTGCATAGCTTGAACCTTAAACTAAAATAAAGGTACTCTTGTTTATTGTCAATAAAATGAACCGTTTTCGAAAAAAAGAATAATAAACGAATTCATGTTTTATTTTTAATAAAAAGGACCATAAAAAAAATAATATAACGTATTGTTGCAAACCTTAAATTGAAGGACGATAATTCGAAACAATGATTTAAAAACATTATAAGAGGGTTCAACATGGGTTCCGTGAACTCTGATATATTCGCGGGCACGACGAATTGAGGTCTGCTCTAGCCGCCAGAATAATCCAGAATTGTTTCTTATCATATCACAATGAAACGTGATTATCTGTAGAAGTTTCTCCCTAATATTGATCGGAGTAGAGTACACCAAGTTTTTTAGGTGTCCCCACAGGAAAAAATCTATCAGCGTAAGGTCGGGGAGATCGAGGAGGCCAGTTAATAGGTCCTCCTCTACCTATCCAACGGTTTGGATAAACTTTATTTAAGTGCTCTCGCATAGCAACGCTGAAATGAGGTGGTGCCCCATCGTGCAAGAAGTACATTTCTGTGGGTAAAAGGCATAAGGGGATAAGTCAAAAAAAGCAACTTTTCGGTAGAGACTTAAACGTGTTCGCATTAATTCAGGAAATATATTTATGGTTATCGAGAATACCCTTTTGCTAGCATATGACATGTGCGAAAACAATAGTGCATGATGTTCTTTAAGAACAGCTGTTATATCCTTATCATATTAAAAAAGTGCATAAACTTATTTCTGAAGATTTTCCTTGTAGAATGCAGTTTGCAAACTGGCTATTGGATCAGCAACAAAATAATGTAAACTTCATTAGCACTATTCTTACCAGCCCTTACCACTTGAAACCCGCCTAAACATGTACTTCTTGCACGATGGGGCACCACCTCATTTCAGCGTTGCTGTGCGGGAGCACTTGAATAACGTTTATCCAAACCGT